GATTGGAAGAGGTACCCTATAAGGAGCAGGAGAGAGCGACTGGAGAGCACACCAACAGCAATAGCACGGGGAGGGAGAGGCCTGGCAAGGATGACAGAGGAAAAAAGTGCAGAATTGGAGTGCAAAAAAGAGAGGGCGGGACGACTAAGGCAATTACAGTCAATTAGAAAGAATGGCCCTATCACACGGACCATGAGTAAGCAGTTAGATCGGCAAGGGTATAAGAAGAACCTCTCCACCCCCTGAGCCTCACTCTGAGGACGCTGGCTGAGGACCAGTGAAAGCTAAGTTGTTTTTTAAGTTTGTATATAACTTTTTATTATTTTAAGTATTGTTTTAACAATAAACAACTGGTTTGTACCTCTCCCGGAGATCGAAGATTGCATCATTGGAGAACATTAAAAATACGAATCCTGGGTATATTCATATTCTGAACAAATAAAATAAACGTGAGCACCAGGAATATTATAAACTGAGAAAGTTTAATAAAATTACCAAGCTTTCGTCGGTATTTTATTTATTATTAATTATTTATTTATTAATTGTATTTATATCCCGCCCTTCTCCTTTCGGACTCAGGGTGGTATATTACCGACATCGTCAGGGTTAAATGCTAGTCAGTGGGAAAGTTACTTTTATAGGTTGTTCAACATTTGCCCCAACTCCTGAACCTCGTCACCGGTCCTAATTGATTAAGCTGTGCTTTGGCCATAATTTTTGCATAAGTTGTTGCTCTTTTCTTGCATCCCTTAACTGTGTGTATGTCACCATCCACCCTCCCCTCGCAGGGTTCTGGGTTGGGGGAGCTCCCTCTCCCCTTTTTGGGTTGGTCGTGAGTTCCGTATCTCTCAGGTGTTGGTTTCTCTCGTAGCTTCTCTCCCTCCGCCCAGGCTGTCCGAATGCCATGCAGTCTCTTTCCCTTTCCTCCTTTTCGTGTATTTCACTCACCCCCCGTTGTTCCCTATCCCATGGGGCTGTATCTCAGGTATTTCCTCCTGTTTCCTATCCTCCCTCCTCCCACTACCTGCCTGGCTCCAATCCCTGCGGGCATCATCTCGCCTGATTTCTACTGTCTCCCCCCACTCCTGATGTTCTCTGCTCCCATGTCCTCTCAAGCACCATTACGTAGTTCCCATTGGTGCGATCGAGTTGCCATCGCGGGGTGGGCTACCGGCGCCGTCCTCCCCTTCCTCCGGCACGTTCGAGTTGTCATTGTATACGAACAGTATACAAACAAAGTGCTAGAACTGCTTGAAAATACAACAGCGTATAAAATCATTAACAACAACCCTATGACCGCACTTAAGAATCATATTAATAAGCTGCTTAATGGCCTCAAACGTGGCAAGAAGATAGGTGATGACATCTTGAGGAGAGTACACCCCAGCGACTTGGCATTAGCCAGGTTCTACGGGTTGCCTAAGATCCATAAGGAAGGCGTTCCCCTTCACCCTATCGTCTCATTTAGGGACACCCCAACCTCAAACCTGGCCAAGTGGCTGAGTAACCGTATTGGCCATTTGGTCAGTGACAGCACCACCACTGTAAATTCGGCAGAGGAGTTCCTGAATAAGATCAAAACCCTAAGGATAGAGGAGGACGAGTTGATGGTGTCGTTCGACATCGTATCACTCTTCACCTCTATCCCGCAGGATCTGGCGGTTACGGTTTTAAGGGACCGCCTGAATCAAAGGGGTTTGGGACAGCAATAGGACTCCCTCCAAATTGAGGATCTGGTGAAGCTAATAGAGGCATGCCTGAAAACCTATTTTACTTTTCAAGGCACCACATTTGAGCAAACCAAAGGAACACCTATGGGGTCCCCTATCTCAAGCATCATAGTGGGGGCGGTACTCCAGCAACTAGAGTGTATGGCAATGACCCAGTACCAACCCAGGTTCTGGGCATGTTATGTAGACGACACGTTCACAGTTATCAAGAAGTGCCAGAAAGCTAACTTTATGGGCATACTCAATTCAGTATACCCGGACGTTCAATTCATGATGGAGGAGGAGAGCCAGGGTTCGTTGACGTTCTTGGATGTGTTGGTCCACCAACTGGATGGAGCCATGAGTACGAAGATATACCATAAGCCAACACACACAGATAGAATCCTCCATTATAGAAGCAACCATCCGGTGGCCCATAAAGTTAGCTGCATTAGAACACTGTTCAGACGGGTGGACTCCCACTGCAATACGACTAGAGCCAAAATAGAAGAAAGAAACTACCTCTTCCGCATATGCAAGCGCAATGGCTACCCTGCAAGGTTTGTTAAGCGCCACAGCATGCCCCCTGAATCCCGGGGAAACCTACGTATGGATGAATCATCATCACAGGCGACACGTGTCACCCTTCCGTATATTAGCAATGTTTCAGAGGCGACAGCCAGATTACTGGCACCCCACAATGTGAAGGTGGCCCATAGACCCAACCAGACATTACACGCTAAAATCATGCGCCCCAAGGACCCACTCCCCAACATGGAAAAATCGGCAGTCGTGTACAAGATCAACTGTAAGGACTGCCCTAACAACTACGTGGGGGAGACCTCTAAGAGGGTGAAAACTAGGGTCCACGAACACAGATTGGCTGTAAAAAGGGGCGAGCAGCGTTCGCAGATTTGGGCGCATATGGAATCTGGCCACCGGTTTGACTTTGGCAAAGTACATATTTTGGCTAGCGACAGCACAAAAGGAGGCCGGCTACTCAAGGAAGCCTGGCTTTCAGACAAAGACTCAATCAACCGGCATATTGACCTTTGTCCAGCACACCTAACATTAAGGACATGGAGTGCACGCAATCACCCATCCCATTGGAGGCAATCCAGCCCCGCATTGAACGTTTCAAGAAAAGGGACCGCAGAGGAGGGGAGTTCCCCCCAATGACCTGCGAATGCTCAGATGGAATGCAGCCAATGACCGAGAGGATCTCCAACCGCGGGGATGTGCACACACTCCCAAACAACGAGAGGGCTACCAGGAGACGAGAGAGTAACATCCCACGTATCAAGAGCCCCCCGTGCCTCCCTAACAAGGAGACAACACCTGGATTGAGCCGACCGATGCCCATAGAGAACGGGGACAACACGAGAGGACAGATTATAACAATGACAACTCGAACGTGCCGGAGGAAGGGGAGGACGGCACTGGTAGCCCACCCCACGATGGCAACTCGATCGCGCCAACAGGAACTACGTAATGGCGCTCGAGAGGACACAGGAGCAGAGAACATCAGGAGTGGGGGGGAGACAGTAGAAATCAGGCGAGACGATGCCCGCAGGGATTGGAGCCAGGCAGGTAGTGGGAGGAGGAGGGAGGATAGGAAACAGGAGGAAATACCTGAGATACAGCCCCATGGGATAGGGAACAACGGGGGGTGAGTGAAATACACGAAAAGGAGGAAAGGGAAAGAGACTGCATGGCATTCGGACAGCCTGGGCGGAGGGAGAGAAGCTACGAGAGAAACCAACACCTGAGAGATACGGAACTCACGACCAACCAAAAAAGGGGGGAGGGAGCTCCCCCAACCCAGAACCCTGCGAGGGGAGGGTGGATGGTGACATACACACAGTTAAGGGATGCAAGAAAAGAGCAACAACTTATGCAAAAATTACGGCCAAAACACAGCTTAATCAATTAGGACCGGTGACGAGGTCCAGAAGTCGGGTGCAAATGTTGAACAACCTATAAAAGAAACTCTCCCACTGACTAGCATTTAACCCTGACGATGTCGGTAGTATACCGACAAAAGCTTGGTAATTTTATTAAACTTTCTCAGTTTATAATATTCCTGGTGCTCACGTTTATTTTATTTGTTCAGAATATATATATATATTCTGGTTGTCTAAGCCCTGATGATGTCAGCAGCGGAAGCTGAAGAAAGCTTGGCGTATGTGTATTGGCATTAAACTCTTATAGTTTGATGATTTTACCCTGGTGTTTACTTTTATTTATTTATTATTGGCATGGATGCACCCAGGGATCACGTTTTTAGTGTAATTATTAACACACACGCACACACACACACACATATATATATACAAATTAAATTAACCTTAACCTAACCATATATATATATTGCTGAAGGGATTTTGTTTCTCATACCATGATAGAAATCTAATTACTTTATATAGTAGTTGTACACTGTTGCCTGTTGCCCTGATGTTTGAGATATTGCTTGGTTGACTATATTTGATACTATTGAGTTTTATTCCTCTATTCTTCTACCAGAAATTCATCAAGAAGACTATTTTGAAGAACCATATGGCACTAGGTTTAAGGTTGTTAATTTTCAAAGCTCCTGGAAGTATAATTCTGTCATTTTCCATTTATTCAGGAGCAGGAGCAGATGGAAGAAAACATGCTTCATGTCACTATAAGACTTTTTAAACGGAAACTGGCAGAGAAAGAATAGGAATAAACTCTGGAAATACCATCATTAGAAAAGGCTAGGATTACCAAAGATGTTATAAAAACCTGAATTGAGAAAATAAGTCTGTATCAAGTTTTATATTTTAAACTTCTGCATTGAAGTTATTTCAGAAAGTTTTCTTTGCAGTTTAGTACTTTTCATTAAACCTTTTTTAATATTGTAAATCACTGAGAACCACCTCATAGTAACATTTTCCATGCATAAAGATACTCACCATACAAGAAGACAAAGTGCATTCAATAAAAAAAAATAAGAAATACTTAGCAATCAAGAAGCTTAGGAAATTTTCTATGCTTGTTTCTATTAAGAAAAGGAACATCTCTACTTGATAAACCAACTCATCCTTTATGATCTATAGGAGAGGCGCTGCTTAAAGAGTTTCCATCTAGGACCCCCTTTATATGTACCTTTTTTGGCATGTAACTTTATGCGGGAGCAATGGTGGAGGCATCACCAACCACAGCTGTAGAGGTATGTCCCAGCTGTGATTATGGCTGCTGTAGCTGCATCCTAAAGAAATGACTGATTAAGCTTTATCATTTAACTGTTTTTTTTCTCTTTCACAGGCTACTGATCATCCAGGTAGAAGTCCTGTTAAAAGACACAGTGATGATTACATCCTGGTTTCTAAAGAGGAAGGAAAAGTTGTTTCTGCTTCTTATCAGGAACAGACTTTACCTGCTTCCCAGGATATGAACATGAAGACTGAGGCTCCATGTCACACTTCTTTAGCCTTCACTGATCCACTGATGGGATCTATGTCTGCCTCTTCAAGTAACCTCAGTTCTAGTCCTGATGATAGCAGCAGCAACAACAGCAAGGATTCTGATTTTACAATTGTTAGCCCTCTTGAAATGTAAGAAAGCTATTCAAGAAGTTAGCATCTCCTGTGCCTCAAGACTTGGTCTGTTGTGATTTCAGATTTATAAGGCTAAACATGTCAGTGAACAGATACCATCAAGGCAACCCAGGTTAACCAGAAACTAAAAACAACAAACATGTAATAATTTCCTTTACAATACACACATGTAATACCAAGATGTAATATATGAGTGCAGATACTTGTTGGTTTACTCCTGTTAACAGATTTTTGAAACCTTGAGTTAGTAAGTTTTTATTCCCCCATCATATAAAATAAGTCTCATGAATTTACTGGAAAGTACCTACTCAAATATAGGGAAACAAATGAATATAAAAATAATTTCAGAACCTGATAGATCATATAGGCTATGAGTAGAATCAGATATTCCTCTCATCAGACAAGTTATAACAAGTGGGATATAACATTTCAAGTTATATCCCACTTCTTGTCTGGTGCTGCCTCCTGAATTATTTTCTGAAGAAGAAAAACAGCCATAATCACTTTATAGATGGTTATGAACTACTATTCATGCAAATATTCATACTTACAAAGTAATACAAATTCAATGCCTTGAAACAATTTGGATTATAGGTCTACTAGTCCTGAATTTGCTTCCTAACATCTAGGATGTATTTTTACAGTTATTTCAAGACTTCTGCCATCCTATTTTGCCTAGGAACAAAGTTCATTGGGAATCTTAAGGCTGCAGTATTCTTTAACCATTTAGAAAGAGTCATTTTTAAATGTTAATTTAAATACAGGATCTATCTTTTTGCACTAAGGACAAAAAGGATTCCTAAGAGTTTGAATCTCCGTGCTGATTGTGATTCATTCAAGGGCAGATTTCTCTGTCAGCGCTGTAGAGACCTAAAATATTTCTGGACACAGTTCATTCTATTATCCTGACAATTGCAAAATAACATTCATAGGTTAGTGTCCAGTTTTGGGGAGAAGTTAGTTTTTGGTTTTTTTGGTTATTTAGTAAATAATACAAGAAATAGTTACAGCCCAAAGTCTATACTTTATTGAGGCACTCTGATTTCTAATTGGGTTCCCTTTTCTCATGCAGCCATTGCTAATTCCACAGCATTGTGCAAGATTGCACTTACTAATTTTATTGACCCAGAGAGGGGAAAAATAATGTATTAAGATTTATTGGTCAAAATCATGATCTTATGCTGGTCTTTCTTCCTGGTATGTGGTATTCATTCCAAGCAAACTGCATTTTCAAAACTATTTTGTTGCTTGCAAGTTGAATGCTATTTAACTACATAGACACATGGGTCTTGAAACCAATATATCTTTTTGATATTGCAGCAAACTCAAATACAAGCTTTCTCCAGATCTAGTTAACAAGAGAAACATTTGTTCAGTGATTTAGCCTCCAAAAACTAATTCTCTACTGTAATAAGTAATCAACAGTTCTTAGATAGAAAACTCCTGTAGCCACAGTATATGCAACCCATTTAAAAATGTTTTTTCTGAAAAGGTTAGGTATCATTATCTCTTGAACCCTTGGAACTAATGATGACAACAGTGTCTAATACAGCGGTTCTCAACCTATGGGTCGTGATCCCATTGGGGTCGATCGACCATTTCACGGGGGTCACCAAGCAAGGCTGTCCGCCATTTTTTTCCCCTTTTCCGGTGGGTGCCTTACCTCCCTTGAGCTGGGCCAGCTGGTGGTCGGCCTGCTCCGTCTCTGCCGCTTGCCAGCTACGCCTCGGCCGGCGCACAGGGCGGAACCACGCATGCGCGGTGCTCCCAGGCAGGGAAAGTCCTCGACTTACGACCAGTTTGGTAATCCTCGACTTATGACCGGTTTAGTCCTCGACTTACGACCGGTTTAGTCCTCGACTTACGACCGGTTGGGGGTCACGGCATTAAAAAGGTTGAGAACCACTGGTCTAATATAACATGATCATTTTTCCCCTCCTGATTGGTAATATCTCGGAGTTGTATTCTTAAACAAAACATTCCTGGTATGTTTTATTTTTATTGGACACTCAATGCTATAGCCGTAATCATGATTGATAGGGCATGAGACTGTGAACACTGATGTATAACAATTTCCATTACAATTTCCATGAGCAGTTCTTTTCTCTATTAATACGACATGTGAATCATGATAATCCAAAGTATAACCTGATCACAAACTACAGAGAATGTGGTTACACAGCATACAGCTCTTTTTGAATATTACACTAGAAACTTTCTAGATGATACAGATGGAATTTGAAGTATTGAAAAATCTACTGCTTTTTGAACTTGTTCTGAACTTGATGTGATAAATTTAACTGAACTGACTGTCCTAGAATTCATTTGATTCTTCCCAAAGTCACTTGGATTTGTAATGCACTGTCCTTTAGCCATAGTTTTGCATCTATGAATTACTATTATATATGGCAATTGTATAATTACATGGTCAGATAACTTGAATGAGTTATGAGAAAATGCTCCCTCTGTCTTTTAAAATTAGACATAATATCGAGAGTTTATATAAAGTGCTTCAGAATATATAATTAGTAGAGTTAATGAATAAAGTCATCACATGACTGTTGATCCAAATGAAAAACCTACAAATGTTCTGGTTATGCAATTTTAAATCTAATACTCTTTTACTTAGACTTTCACAAAATAAATCACTTCAAGATTCAGCCCTAGGATCTGTGTAGATTTATTTAATTTCCTTGATATTTGTGAGGATGATAAAAAGGATTAAATGGCTGTTGATTAATTTGATGTGGCTAACCTTACTCCTTTCCACCCTGATTTTTTCCTTTCTTGCCATACATTAAAAGTGCCATTTAAAGCAAATTATTTAATAGTGGAAAATGAGGCAGAATGGATGAGAAAATAGTAAGTCACCTTCACTTTATTTGAAGTAAAGAAAAAATAGTTGGATAGAGGTCTGGTTTTTTTGTTTGTTTATTAGCTTTGCTTTTATATGTTTGACTCCTTTGCCTATTTTATGGTTCAAATTATTTTTCTTGTTAGAGCAGTTTTTGCTGTAATATGTTTGCCTTATTTAGTATGTATTTAATTTCTCAATGTTATACTTCTGATTTCATATAATAAACAGCACTTTGCTAACAGAGAAAGGTGAATAATTTCTTTGGAAAAGTCAAATATATTAATCCCATGTTGTAAAATTTAATAATATACCAAACTTAATTTTGCATGGCACTGGAAGTGTCAATCAAAAAAGATTAGACCATAATAATATATTGCCTTCTACCAAGTGTACTAAGGTTCCCAAATTAAAGCACCAATTAATTTTCTCTCTTAAATGCAATCTGCTCATCTCAGCTATTGTTAACAGTAAGATGACAGGAAAGAATATAGAGTATAAAGGGTTTATTAGTATTAATATGTGATGCTCTAAAACATTTTTCAACCTATTAGAAGCTTTTCTGGGTTTCTTGCATCTTTAAACTACGGTTTCATCTTTTGCATGTCATCTTACATTGCTGAAGAATGTTGAGAATAATTTAGTGACTAATGTTCATTTTTAGCTATGAAAGGCTGTGTTTTTCCTCTCCTAAGAATGATTGCCTACTTTATTAAAGAAAGAGTTAACATGCACACATCTTGAATTTTGTCTTTTATTTTACAAAAGTTAAGAGCTTTTTTATCTCTTACATATCTTAAGAAAGTAGAATTCTCCCAATGTTTTAATCCATGAAGTGACTGTAATAAATAATATAAAATACCGTTCAGTACTATACTCTGAGACATGTATTTGGGAGTCAACAGTGTGTGTAATAATGCAGATACAAAGGAGAAAACTATACAAAGAAAAGAAAAATGGACCTATCCCCTATATTTTTACAAATATTATCTCTTTCTTGTGTTTTGGTTTTATATCACTCTTTCTCATGAAAAAGCCTATTCCTGTCAGATTTATCAAACACAAATATTAAATATTCGTTGCATGGAGAAAAAATGGAATGTGTGCTAAAATCCTGCTCCTTCACCTCAATGTCTGTTATTGGAAGTTCTCACATTATTTTTTGAAGCTCTTCAATTGTGCAGGATTCTTTAAGCGATGTTAAACATAGTTACCTCACCACTAATATTTTTAGTTTTAGTTTTATAAGAGTTTTTATACATCTGAAGTTTTTATACATCTGAAGTCAAAGGCAAGAATGAAGCCCAAATGACAAAATAACATAAACTCTGTCCCTTTTGTATTTTGCATTGCAAAAGATCACTTCGTCACATGGTCACATAGTGCAATACTGAAAGGGCCACCATGTTGAGGGGAGGGAGGAGAGGAAGGAAGGAAGGAAGGAGAAAGGGAAAGGAAAAAAGATTAAGAGAAAGTTTCTCCAATTACATATGTTTATAAATCCAAACCAATCAAAATAAATGATAGGAAAAAAAGCATTCCATGTCAGAAGGTTAAATAAAATATAGAAAAACAGCCCCTAACATCATAAACACAGATTCATCAAAAATGAAAGAATTTTGTTCTTGATATAAAAAGGTAACTTAGTTGTAAAGAGAAAGAAACAAGAGTTCCAAACATTATAAACCAAATCCAACATCCAAATTAATTTTCTATAAAAATACCAGCTGAAATATTGAAAATCTCCAAGTGGAAATACACTTCATAACTGAAGAATGCCTTTCTTAAATTTAAAAATTAAAAGTAAATGAAAAGATGCTTTAGAAATGGGGTCAGTTCTAGTGTCTGTTCTTTGGGCTGTGCCACACTATTGAACAATCATCTACTCACCAGCAGGTTTCATGATCTTCTTACAAGCACCACTTGTTCAGAGGACAAAGGATTAATTTCCAGACTCTCCTTAACTCCAGAAGTTCTTTCAGCAGCAAGATCCTTGCCCAAGCCTCAAAATTAGTTGGGTGTTGGCTACTGCTAAAGAAGAAACTGTTCAACTGCCTTCTTCACCCACTAGAAGTTACCAGTCAACCCGCCAGTTCTGTGGAATCAAACGCAGGACCCCAAACCAATAAACAAGTCTCACTGCAGTATTTATTGTTAACAGTGTGCACTGAAGGAATTCCTGCCAAAGAATAGTGGGCAGAGCTACTACAGACAAAACTATGCAGTCATATTTATACATTTCAGAAAAGGGAAGAAAATTATATAGGCTACATGTGCATAAATAATAAATGATGTAAGTATACATATTTATAATTGCCAAATCTCAAATTACTTCCCCACTTTTCTCCTGTTACTATCTTCGAGAAATGAATTATTGCCTTAATAAAAGACCATAGAAATTGCCATAGAAATTTTTTTAACTGAGAACCAGATATTTTATGGTTGCCTTTTTTAATCTGCCAATAGCACATATAACTTT